CTGGGGGCTGCAGGGGGGTCTCTCCCTGGCAGTGGGACAGAATGCTCCTGGCCAAGTGCTCCCCATTCGACTGTGCCAGGACTCGATGGCCCACACTGAGATGCTCCCATGGCGTTCACCCACCATGCCTGGTGAGGAGGCAGAGACTGGGGCTCTCTGCAGGGCTCTGCTGGGCCTGGGTCACTCTACCGCTGCCCTGTGGCCTGCTTGCTGCCACCTGTCACATTCATGCCTGGCTCTGGGATGAAGTGCTCCCTGGTTTGTAGCTGAGTGTGCTGAGAAGCTCTTGCAGCGGCTGGAAGCTGAAGGACTTCTGTCTCTGGGGCCGGAAGCTGAAGGACTTCTGTCTCTGGAGCGGCCACTGAGAGAGGACCACTGCCTCAGGGCTGGGGGAAGAACTGAGACTACCCTAAATAAGCAGATCCGAGATGATGAAAGAGGAGGCGGTGTCATGTGAGGCATTTTCTTTTTGTTTTCTTTTTTTTTGTTTGTTTTATGATTTTGGACCACACCCAGCAATGCAGCAATGCTCAGGGGTTACTCCTGGCTCGGTAGATCAAGCCCGGGTGGACCCACGCAAACCAAATGACCTACCCACTGTACTATCACTCTGGCCCCAAGCGTTTGTCTTTTTTTTTAGACCCATAAATGTCTGGCATTGGTGAAGAGTCCCTAGAATTGAATTCAGGGCAATATTGGTTATGGGGATACGCTGGATTCACATGGATGCTGTTGAATTCAGTAAGAAAAAGACAGAACCAGACCAGAAATGACTGGGAGACAGCTCAAGAGCTGAGCACAGGTTTCATACGTGCACCCCTGAACCCCAAACACCGTTGACAGTGAAAACCCTCCCCAAGCACAAAGCCAGGAGTGATTCCTGAGTGCAGAGCTAGGAGTAAGCCCTGAGCATTGCTAGGTGTAAACCGAAAAGAAAAAAAAAATGTGTCTTGGTGAAAGAGCTTAGAGAAAGATGAAGACCTTCAGGGGGAAAAATAAAAGTTTTTAGTGAAATTTATTTAGAAAGATGTGAGGGAAGAGGAAAGAACGCAGGCCTCTCCGGAGTGGAAAGAAGCAGGCAAAGAAACAGAGCAAGTGAGATACGTGTTCAGGGGCTTGATGAGCAAGCCACAAAACTATTTTTGTAAAGAAAAGACGAGACAAAACAAGTCACCCCCAGAGAACAAGACCAAACAGTTCTAATTAAGGTAAAGGTGAAGATTTCTGGAGGTGAGGTTAGCTCTGCGTGACCTAGAATGCACACAGTCAGATCTAAAGTTTGATGAGTTCACAGTTTTCTGAGAGGAAGACACCGAGCATTTTTTGTTGGGGAAGGAGGCCGGGGTCCTACTCGGTGGTGCTCAGGGCTTAGGGAGTCTCTAGCTCAGCCATCACTCCTGGTGGGGCTCAGAGAACCACACATGGTGCTGGGGACCAAACCCGGGAGTACAAGGGAAGCGCCTGGACACGGGTACCATCTATCCCAACTCATACTGAATACTTTGGGGTTACTCACATGCTGCCTCATTATTGAACATCACTGTACAAAATACATATCGATATAATATCTATTTATTTTATTTAGGCACCGTGATTTAAAAAGCTGTTGAGGGGCTGGAGCAATAGCACAGCGGGTAGGGCGTCTGCCTTGCACGCGGTCGACCCGGTTCGATTCCCAGCATCCCATATGGTCTCCTGAGCACCGCCAGGGATAATTCCTGAGTGCAGAGCCTGGAGTAACCCCTGTGCATCGCCAGGTGTGACCCAAAAAGCAAAAAAAAAAAAAAGTTTAAATAAAAAGCTGTTGATGACAGAGTTTTGGGCATTCAGTATTCTACTCTAAAGCCTCTGCCAGTCTCCCCCACCAGTGACCCGAGATTCCTCCCCCTTCCCAAACTCATTCCCTTAGCAAACTTACACTTATACACACACACACACACACACACACACACACACACACACATACACACATACATTTTGGGGCAACACCCAGAAGTCCTTAGGGCTTACTTCTGACTGTACTCTCAGGGATCACTCCTGGTATAGCTCGGGGACCATATAGGGTGCCAGGGTGGAAACAGGGTTGGCCTCATGTAAGGCAAGTGACCTCCTCACTGTTCTATGGCTCTGGTCTCTTCACGTATGCAGTTGCCTCACCTCTAAACCACATATACACGGGCCAGAGTGATAGCACAGCAGGGAGGGCATTTACCTTGCGCATAGCCAGGCCAAGTCAATCCCCGGCATCCCAAATGGTCCCCAGGGGGCTAGAGAGATAGCACAGTGGGTAGGGCATTTGCCTTGCACATGGCCAACCTGGGTTCGATTCCCAGCAATCCCATGTGGTCCCCTGAGCACTGCCAGGAGTTACTCCTGAGTGCAGAGCCAGGAGTAACCCCTGTGCATCGCTGGGTATGACCCAAAAAGCAAAAGACAAAACAAACAAACAAACAAACAAACAAACAAAAAACAACCCAAATGGTCCCCAGGAGTAATTCCTAGTGCAGAGTCAGGAGTGATCCCTGAGTATCACTGGTTGTAACCACTTAAAAAACACACACACAAATAAACCACAAAAATGTCTAAGCCTCTTAACCAATACCCATATGTTATCCAGATTCTCCTTCCTCCTCGCACATTCTCATTCTCTCCCGTGGAATTCTCATCTCTGTAACTGAGGGGCAGGCTTTGCTATAATTTGATAACTCTCATTCCCGTCTTGTCACTAGAAACCATAGGACCACTCACTTTGTATTTGCCCTCCTTATTCATTTTAGGTAGAAAACTGCATGGTTTTATCTTTTTCTATAGCTGCATAGCATTTGTATAAATGCATATATATATATTATATCACAACGTCTTTATACATTTGTCCAACATTGGAAATTTGCTTGTTTCCATATTTTCAAGTCCTGAGTATTGTATTAAGTGCTGCAATGAACATAAGTGTGCATATATCTTTTCAGATTAATGTTTTTTTTTTCTATTTTGATGGTAGATGCCAAAAAAGTGGACTCGCGGGGTCATATGGGAGCTCCATGATTAGTTGTTTGAGAAATCTCTACAATGTTTGCCATAGAGACTAAACCTGACAGCATTCTCACCAGCAATGAACGAGAGTTCCTCCAAAGAAAGATAACGAGGCATGGGGCCAGAGCAATAGAACAGCGGCAAGGCACTTGCCTTGTGGGCACCTCACCTGGGTTCGATCCTTGGCATCCCATATGGTCCCCAGGCTCCATCAGGAGTGATCCTGACGACAGTGGGGGATCAGTCCTGGTAAGCCCTGAGTACCAATGGGTGTGGCCCAAAAACCAAAAAGAAAAATAAAAGAAAGAGAAAGAAAAGAAATATGTTGAGTCACATGTGTGTGTATGTATTTCTCTTAGTCCCATTAAAAAATGTCAAACAAAAATGAAGGGGCCAGAGGTGTGACTCAGCGGCTGCGTAGTCTGAAATGTGGAAGAACTAGGTTAGAAATCCTGTCTGCCTTGCCCCAGAATGACTGGATGTGGTCTCCTCTGAAAATAATATTCAGGTGAATTAGCTTTAGAACATATTTTACTTAGCACAATATATACAAAACACCATTATTTGAGGGAGAGGGGTTGGGTCACACCAGAAGTGCTCAGAACTTACTCCTGACTTTGTGCTCCGAAGTCCCTCCTGGTGGGGTTCAAGGACCATTGTGGTACTGGGCATCCAATCCAGGTCAGCTTGTACAAGGCAAGTGTTTTACCCACTGGACTATTTCTCAGACCCCTCAAAACATTATTTTAATGTTGTATCAATATAAAACAAAATTTTGAGATATTTCACATTTTTTAATGTCTTCAAAATCTAATGCATGTTTTATACTTGTATTCATGGACTAGCCCCAATTCAAGTGCTCAGAAGCACGGTACCCAGAGTTTAGTTCAGGAATAACCAAACCCAACCAGTCTTCTTGCCCCATACTTGCTACCATTTATTCTTAGCCTCCAAGGCCACCAGTTAGATTTCTGAAAACCTACCCACCCATCGTAAAGGATATCTGCTCTTCGTACCCTGATAAAACAAAGTGGAACAGTTTGGGGGCTTCAGAGAGAGTGAGGTGGGTGAGGTGCTTGCGGTGCCCCTGACCTGGGTTGATCCGCAGCATATGGTCTGCTGGATGCGACCAGTACTGTTCCCTGGACTCCGGAGTAAGTCCTGGGCACAACTGGGTATGGCCCCAAACCAAACCAAACCAAACCAAACCAAAAATGTTCAAAGTGAATTATTACTCTTGCATGGTTCACTTTCATTTATTTCTATGTTGTTGTTGTTGTTTTAGGGACATACTGGCGATGGTCAGAAGTTACTCCTGGCTCTGCACTCAGGAATTACTCTGGAATTACTTCTGCTGGGGCTCAGGGAACCGTAAAGGATGCCAAGGATCAAACTGGAGGGACCACATGGGATGCAGGAGATTGAACCCAGGTCTGCTGGAAGCAAGGCGCTTGTGCCCTACCCCCTGTACTATCTCTCCAACCCATTCAGCATGATTTAAAAGACAGGTCACAAAACTGAGGGGGATTTACTCCAGGCTTACTCCTGGCTCTGCATTCCGGGATCACGCCTGGTGGGGTGCAGGGGTCCCTGTGCCAGGGGTGGAAGCCAGGCTGGCTTCGCGCAAGGTATGCGTCCTGCCCGGCCCGACTATGCCCAGCCCCTCGGTGCCATTTCTTCCAAGCTGGGCGCTTTGGTGAAAACCCAGTAACCCCTCGACTGACCCAGGTCCACTTTCGCATTCGAGGACGGGACAGGGACGGTGGAAAGGAACGTCCGGCCCTTAGTCCCGCCGTAGAAAGCCGCGATCCCCCGGCCCCCACCCCCCGGCCCCTGCCAGCCCCGATCGCCTCGGACCCCGGGCCGCAGGGACCCGCGGCGCGGCGGGAACTACAAGTCCCGGCGGGTGGCAGCGGGAGGCGGAAGGGGCGGCGGGGGCGGGCCGAGGCGGGGCCGCAGGGGCCAAAAGGGCCGGCGCGGGCCACACGGCCGCCCAGCCAGCATGTCCCTCCCGAGCGGTTGCGGTCAGACCCCCAGCCGGGACATCCCCGCCGCGCCCAGGGCGCTTCTGGACGGCGGGCAGCTGCCGCCCGGGGTCTACAGCACCACCCCCGGCGGCACGCTCTTCAGCACCACGCCGGGAGGTAGGCACGGGGCGCTGGGCAGGGGGCGCAGGGCAGGACGCGTGGGCAGGGGGCGCGGGGCAGGGCGCGCGGACGGGGGCGCGCGGGCGGGGCGCGGGGCGGTGATCCGGAGCCCCCCGACTGTATGGGCCACTGCGCTCCGGGCCCCGATGACCCTGAAGACCCAGGAGGCGGGGAGGGTCCCAAAGAGGGTCCCAAAGGGGGTCCTAGAGAGCGAGAGGGGGCGCCGGCCCATCGCCTGCGCCGGGTGACTTAAGTTCCCACCCAAACAGATCCTCCCCCTTCCAGGGTGGTCTCCTGTCGGGGTGGCGTTGGGGCAGCCCCGAGGCGCAACCGGGCGGGGTCAGAGTGGCCTGCGGGTCACGGAGTGGCCTGGCCACGGGGGCGCAGGCATGGGACGGGACCCCGATGGCTCTTGAGACATGCCCGCCTTGGGGTTTTGTTTTTGGGTCGCAGCCGACGGTGTGCGGGGCTCGCTCCAGGCTCTGCGCTCAGGGGGGCGGGGGAGTCCCTCCTGGTGGGGTCGGGGACCCTATGGGATGCGGGGATCGAACCCGGGCCGGCCCCGTGCAGGACACACGCCCTCCGCGCCGTCCTGGCGCCCGGCCCGAGGTGTCCCCATCTGCTTGCGCTCGGCGCGGCCAGCGGCGCGTTTGGCTGACCGCCCGTTTTACGCAAGGGGAACTCCGTGGCCAGCCAGGGACAGCGCAGGGAACTGCCGGGGAAACCCCGTCCTGCGGGGCCGGGGCCGGAGCAACAGGGCACGGACGCTGGCGCTGATCCCCGCACCCCGGTGGCCCACGAGGAGGGACCTCTGGGTGCAGAGCCAGGCGAGAGCCGGAGCGCGGGCAGGTGTGGTCCAAACCCAAACAAAAACACTTTGCATCCGTCTGGGTGTCGGGAGGGAGCGAGGGAAACGCGTGGCCGCCCGGGGCAGGGATGGGGAGGAGAGAGGAAGGAGGAGCTGGCACGGGCGGAGCCAAGGAGTTCCGCACCCGCGGCCCCTGCGCCCAGGCGCGGAGGAGGAGGAAAACGCTCAACTACGCTGCATGATGAAACCCTGGCGGCTCAGCGCTTCCCTCGCACGCCCCTCACGCACCCTTGGCCTCTTTCTCCGGCCGCTCTCAGGCAGGTCCTGGCCGGGGGCCGCGCGCTCGTCTCCGTCGGCGGCGCGCCCACACCAGCAACGCCGCCCGTCCCCAACCGTGCGGCGCTAGAACTGCTCAGACTGATTAGATGTTCTTCTTGCTCAGCCGCGCCCCTCAGTCTGCAGAACACGTCCACGTCGTGGAGGATTCTCGTCCGTTTTTCCAAGACAGAACGTTTCCCCAGACTGACAAGCAGTCGTCCAGCGCAGTGGGGACAGTTGCTTTCTTTCCTCTTAAAAATGATTCAGGGGCTGCAGAGATAGCACAGCGCGTAGGGCGTTTGCCTTGCACGCGGCCGACCCGGGTTCTTCTCCCAGTATCCCATATGGTCCCCCTGAGCACCGCCAGGAGTAACTCCTGAGTGCAGAGCCAGGAGTAACCCCTGTGCACCCAAAAAGCAAAAAAAAAAAAAAAAAAGAAGATTCAGCTCATGGGCGGAAAATACAACATCTAATGATGGCCTTGTATCCAGCAGATGTAGGCTCGAACCCCCCAGTCCAAGTAAAAGTCCCCAGTCATGAGTCCAAGCCATAGTACAGGCCACTTCCCTCGCAAGTGGCTGACCCGGGTTTGATCCCCAGAACCCCATGGTGCCCCAAAGTGATCCCGGAATACCACTGGGTGTGGCCTAGGCCAGCCACTCTTGCACTTACTGTGGGTGGGAGCGTCTGGGTCATAAGGTACTGCCCAGACCTGGGGGTGGGAAGGCCATGTGGGGCGCGGGAGTAGCTTTGACTTGCCAGACAAGAGCTTCTGCTATAGCTTCCGGGTTTCCTGCCACTCTTGACTGAAATCCTTTGCCCGCTGGGCTTTTTGCAGGCCTTCCTGTTCTTTCTCTGTCTCACCATGTGTCTACTAGAACCTTTCCTGACAATTTGGAGAGTTCTTTTAAAAGTGGGATTCTGCATCTCTGCTTGATTCGTTGAAGGTGTTCACTGGGGCGGGCCTGAAGATCCCGGAGAGCTGAGGTCCCCAGCCCATTGGGGAACTCTGCATGCGTCTGTGGACCCTCTGATCCCGAGTACCAGGGGAGACTGTAACCTATTCTCTCCTAGAAGGTATTTAGTTGTGGGAGCGGCCTGGGGTTTCTAAATCAAGTGCTACTTCGTTTTACGGAAACAGCTGTTCCAGGATGCTGCAGCCAGGCTTGTCTGACCTCAGGCGTTCTGCCCAGCAGGCAGAGCCCAATAACCCCAGTCACTCGTGTCCACCTCTTTCTTCAGAGACACAAACAGGCTGTGGAGCTGCTTTTAACCCCTTTGCTTTTGTGGAGAAGCTAGATTTAAAGCGCAAAGGTCATTCCTGCATCAACTATCTGGGGTATTCATTTAAATGCTGATTTCCTTTTCCATTTGAATGCAGATTCTGAAATTCTGCTTGTCTGGCTAGCTCCCAAGCTAGCTAAAAGACACTCTGGGCACTCACACAACAGGAAATTAGGCAGTCTTACTTCTCTCAGTTGCAGGCCTGAGGGGTCTGGCCTGTAGCTGAGATGTTTCTATCCCTGGAAGCTTCTCTGGAGGTCGACTTTGGCCTTTAAAATTAGGGTCTTGGAGCTGGAGCAATAGCACATCGGGTAAGTCGTTTGCCTTGCACATAGCCAGGGCCAACCTGGGTTTGATTCCCAGCATCCCATATGATCCTCTGAGCACCTCCAGGAGTAATTCCTGAGTGCAGAGCCAGGAGTAACCCCTGTGCATCGCCAGGTGTGACCCAAATAAGCCAAAAAATAAATAAATAAATAAATAAATAAAATCAGGGTCTTAAAGGTCAGAGAAGTAGTTCCAACAGTTAGGGCCCTTGCCTTGTATGTGGTCAACCTGGGTTTGATCCCCAGCATCCCAGGTGGTCCCCAGAGCACCACCAGGAGTGATTCCTGAGTGCAGAGTCAGCAGTAAGCCCTGAGCATCGCCGGGTGTGTCCCAAAACTAAAAATAAACTAGAGTCAGGAGAGAAGGTTTTAGTGGGTGTCAGCACTTTCTTCATTGCAGGAAGTGCCAAGATCTATTGGTGAAAGGTTCAGCCGCTGGCTCTGCCGGAAATGACTCCCTACCGTGTCTTAAGGAAAAGGAGCTGCACTCCACCTGAGCTGTCTCTGTTTCTCTCTCCGTGGACATCAGTCTCCCTGTGAGCAACTGATCTGAAGATAGGGGTCTGGTGAATTTAAGAGAAATTTGCTGCAGGGGTGGCTCTAAACCGGAAGGTCTGGTTTGTAGCTATTGCTCAAGAGACCTGTCAGTCAAAGTGCAGAGATGGACTCACTTGTCTGTGTGGTTATGAGAAGCAGCGTTTTGTTCAGTTTTTGGGGGTTTTTTGTTTTTTAGTTTTGGGGGCACACCCTGGCGATGCCCAGGGGTTACTCTTGGCTCTGCACTCAGGAATCACTCCTTGGCAGTAGTGCTCAGGGAACCATATGGGATGCAGGGGTTGGAGCGTGGATCAGCCACGTGCAAGGAAGCACCATCCCCTCTGTACTATCTCTGGCCCCTTTGTTTGGATTTTTCCAGGGTGTTGAGGGGAGGGGGCTTACCCCTGGCTCTCTGCTCCGGGATGAGATCACTCCTGGGGGTACTCAAGGATATATATCATGCCAGGGAATCAAACCTGGGTTGGCCTCATGTAAGCACCTTTCTTGCCACTATATTATCTGTCCAAACCAGAGAAGCAGGTTTTTTTTGTGGGAAAAGAGAACAGGGTAGCACATTTTGCAGGAAGAGCTGACAGCAAGCTGCTGGGTTCCAGGATGGTCAGTAAATCCCCTCTTGGGCTGACCCTCTGAGGCACACTCCATGTTATCTGCAAGCTTAAGCAGATAGCGTTAAAATACTTGCATGGGATACAGCTGACCCTAGTCTAACCCCAGCCCCTCAGTTGCCAGGAGTGGTCCTTTTTTTTAATTTTTAAGTAAAACATTTTATTTGGAGGGTTTTAAGGTGTGGAGAGAGGGTGAAAGAGAGAGTAACACATTCAAGAGAGAAGGCGGAGAGAGACCCTAGACACATTCCAGCATTAGACACAAAAGCATGAAAGTACACATCTCAAGAGGGGAGATGCGGGCGACACATGTGCTCGGGCACCACATGTGCTTGACCACTTGGGCGCAAGCAGCACACGGGCTCAGGCAGCATATGCGCCAGGAGTGGTCCTTGAGCTCAGCGCCAGAAGTAAGCCCTGAGCATCTCTGGGTGTATGACCCCTGCCTAGGGAGGGAGGGAAAGAGGGAGAGAGGGAGAGAGAGCGCACTAAGGTTAAGGGCTTAATCCATGCTTATCTTAAACTTTCTGGGAAGGGACAAGGTGAGGAAAACCGTATCTGGTTTTATGTGGTGCTGGGAATTAAAACCAGGATCCCCCCACATGTGCAGGTCACGTGCTCCAGCACAGACCACATAGCTGACTAGTGCACTGTTTCTATTTTTATTTTCTTTGGAGCTTGGCACCATAGCCAGTGGAGCTCGGGGGCTCTTCCTGGCTCTGTCCTTGAGAGTGATGCTCTGGTGGTGCTCGAGGGACTGTGGCCCTACATGGTACCACAGCTGAGCCCAGGTCAGCTGCCTGCAAGGCCCATCCAGCTTGTTGGCCCTAATTAGCTCTTAATTTCTTCATGGCTGGGTTCATCTGAGTATGAGGATCTGTACTGTGGAGTCATGAAACATTCCAGTGACGCCGCCTTCGTGTTCATGGTTCCATGTTGGAATTTGAGGGGTTTGGGGGTTTTTGGGTTTTGCACCATACCTAGTGGCACTCAGGGTCCCTGTGCTTAGGAAACCGTATGTGTGTGACCAGGGATTGATCTAGGATGGTGTGCCTTAGCCCCTGTGTTAGTTCTCTGGCTGCTGTCTTGGCGGTTTGA